ATGCAAGGCGAGCAAAGCGCTCCCTGCTGAATAAGAATGCCTGCACTGACTCATTCACCATCTTCGAGATGGACCAGCGTGCAAGAGCTTCCCGTGGCCGCAGTGGTATGGTATTGTGCCCGTTGATTGTCTCCCGACTACCCACAAGAGCACCCGATTGAATCTATTCAGCTACACACACCCTCGCGGGCGGCCCACTCGGCCAACACCGACTTCTGTCTTTCCCGTATGCTGTTCGTATGTGCGTGAGTCCATTCAGCTCGCTCGCGGCGGTGAACAAACAGCCAGCCTGTGCCTGACCCATCTCCATCCTCCATCTGACCTGGTTGGGGCAAGCGGGCTTATACAGCCAACCCCATGTCTGCGATGACGCCGGTGCCTCTGGCATTTGGCTGCGACATGTAGTATTAATGGATCGCCCTGGGAAAACAGACTCTGTTGGTCTTGGTGAGGTTTGAACTTTGGGCCACCGATGGCACTTCCGGAATTTAGCCCCTCGCACACCTGAAAATCTACCTGTCAGGCTGATGTCCTCGAACACAAGATTTTGGAACTAGGACTGATCTGCAAACAGCCATTGCATCACTCGGCAGCTGGAAGACTAATAAGGTACGACAGGCCCTGGGAAGTACATCCTGCGCACTAAGGGAGGTGTTTCGCACATTGGAGATGTCGAGATATTTCGAAGCGGGCATGTGTGTGCGCTCACCGGTGAGTGACCGTGTCCATTGCCCTGATGAGGATCTGTGATCAGGGCGCTAGCAAGCATGGCCATCCGATGGATGCTATAGTCTATTGTCTATTATTTTCACGATTCGCGCCCGTGATTACCCACTAACCGTATAACCCCTGGGGCCTGGTGCTGTACCTTAAGTACCTGGCCGTACCTTGAGGCAAGGAGGGGCCTGATCCCCCAAGTACCAAGGGAGGCTCGAGGAGAGTGCCTTTTCGAATCGATCCACACCCTCACACGGGCCCTGTCCACTGGTTCACCTGCTGACTTGGTGGCGGGGCTCGAGCCTCCAGGACCAGGGCCCGAGCTACAGGGAAGACCGGTATGTTTGCCTTAGTGTTGGCTGGCAGGTACCTGAGAATGGATCGAATTCCTCTCTCTTACCGACCCCTCGCCCAGATGCGCACACGTACTTATGTATGTGCTGAGACCCCTGCTTGGCCGTGTCATGCCAGGAGCCTTGCCTCGCACGTGGTTACGTGAGAGGAAAAAGCAAACATGAATCAACGGCATCGTACCTACTAACATCGGTCAACGTCCCAACAACTGGCGGTGCCCTCGTCTTCATGCACTCTCAACCTGATACTGCTGTGGGCCGTCGCAGGCACATCCAGGGCCAAAGCGCCTTCGGATCCGCAGCGTTTAGACAAAGGCGGGGAGGCTAACAACTACCTACCTATTGAATTTTCCCTCGTTAAGAGAGCTAAATCCTGCCTTCGCTCTCGATAAAGGCGGCCGGGAAAAGAAGAAGGCTGGCTAACAAGTAGGGCGAATCTTGGTACCTGTCGGAGGATCCGTCAGCTGGCAGGTACGCCGGATGAAACCGATTATTGTCCATCCAGCCGTGTCAAAAAGATCCAATATGATTCACTGCGAGTACGCCCAGGCACGCAGGTATGTAAGAAGCCCAGGTGGCACGTGGTGCCTGTCTCTCACTCTCCAACCATATGCGGTTTCACCCTGCTTGCCCTGCCCTGCTTAGGCCCCCGTCATCCATCTTTCTGACTTACATGCCAGAGCTACCGTATATCCTTCCGAGCTCCGTAAGTAGTATCAATATGGCCCAAGGTAGCACTTGGAGAGGCTCATATGCCTGTGTATGCGCAGTGTACACTGGTGAGGCGCAATATTGAGCACAAGCCGGCATATGACAGTAGCTGCAAAAAAGAGAGCTTCTGTCTGTTTGTGCCGTCTATGCACATGTAACTCTTACGGCATTGAAACATGTCCCTGTGCGCTCATTCTGATGGTCAGATGGCCTAATCTCATCCAGATCAGAGGCGTCATCATCAGAGGGTATGCAACCAAAACTCTCTTTTCGCACTGAGAGCAGATCCAAGGGACTGGTTTGAGATGCCACGCCGGAACAGATTAGTAGACACACACTAGCCACCAGGACTGCCAGTGGCGAGAGTCTGTTCCTTGCCAACCCCAAACCCAACCACCCTCCTCCTTTCAGCCTCAGCCGGCAGTACCGGAGTCCTTTGTTGCCAGACCCGTCGGTTAATTCAAGCCACTAACACACTCGGCCTTCCCCTTAGTCCCTGGATTGCACGGTCTAGACTTAGGGGCGCTGCCAACTCGGCATCTGCCCTCTATCCCCAGGTAACATGGTGATGTCCGTGGCTGATCAGAAACTCGGGGCTGCCCGAAAGTACTCGGGGATCATTGAGACCAGTCGATTTGTTGACTTTCCTCCCTCTCAGTACTAAACGGTGTACGCGCAAGCCATCCGCGGAGTACATCTAATAGTGCAAGTTGTAGTCCCTGCCTGATGGGCAGTCGTCGGCCTATGACATGAAAGTCGCAGCATGCCAAAATCGCCACTTTAGAAAATCGGATCCAATATGAGCTCCTCCGTGTGCAATATCCTGTGGGTAGAGTGTGTACATGGATGGACATGTACAAATCGAACTGCGCTCCCAGGGCGGCTCCGTGCTCACTTACATGCGTTGCCTTGAGTGCCAATATTAGACTCTGAACCAGGGAGATTCAGATGCAGTCCTCCCCCAGGCCAGTTACACGCGCCTGGGACCAATCCCTCGGGCCATGCTAGCAAGGATATACACATGTGGTAGATGGGCAAGGACGCCACGAACAATGCACGCCACTGCGGACGCGCGCCTGTGCTTGCGGAAGGGGAGTGACACCAAGAAGCCCATCACGACTGCTTCATCTCGCATCCTCCACATCTCAACTCGAGCACCCACTCCCACTCCCACTCACACACACTTGCTTCATGTCTACACTCTGCTCGCAATGCAGCATCATCCCGACGCGGCCTCGAAGGCGGCCTCGAAGGGCCCCTCACCGCCATTTCTGCCCACCCATCTTTCCTTCGGCCTGAATGCAAGAGCCGACAGGTTTGGTGAATGACTTACATGTGGCCGGCAGGACTCCCTTCCAATCCCATCAGCTCATGGTGGTGATTTTGGGCAACCCGACCTTCTTCTTCGTCATACCCTTTTAGCCAAAACATCCCTTCGAGCAGGGGACCCGGAGGGAGACCCTCCCCGGGAGATCGAGCTGGCCCCCAGGTTACATCGTCGTACTCCGGGTCCCCCTCTCTAGTGTCCCCCCTGTTAAGACAGACCTGCCAGATCCTCGTCCAGATTCGGCGCTCTGCAGCGCCCGGTGCCCTATTGGAGGGAGGGGGGGAGCTGTCGCCTTGCTGCAGGGAAGGGGTGAGGGGCAAAGCAACAACTCGAACGTTGACACAGCTCGGAGAAGGAGGGGGTGGTAGTTGGAGCTGCGTCGCATGTTTCACATGGGGCCTTGGCAAGCGGACTGTCTCCCGTGCGTGAGGAGGGCAATGTCATGCCCATGCAGGCAGAGCACATGTGCCTAGACGGTGGCTGGCTCCCAAGGTTTATTTAGTTTTCCTGGGGTTGGCCGAGGGGGGAGAGTTGACGGCCGAGCCACGGTTGATATTAAAAGATCAAACATTCGCTGATCTGGTCTGGCTTGTGTCATATCCGCTCAACTCATGCTCGCTCGTGAACCCGCGGATCAGGGCTTTTGGTCATATCGCACTGAAGAGGGGCGAGACGGGGTGGGACTTGCTACGATCATCTTGCCTCTCTTGATTATTATACAACGCTGTTAGTAGTATGATGTATACCATCATGCATGTCTCTTCTATTGTTGCTGGACACTTAACGTCGTCAAGCGAGCAACTATACGATATACATTCACTGGCTCTGAAGTAGCTCACTGATACCACCTCGGTGATTGTAAATTAGGCACCCTTCAGTCGAGGAAGTAGCATGATGGGCAGAGGCAGGGGCGGAAACGCCAAGCCATGCTGAGCTGGCTTGGGCATCCCGATAAAAGTGATCAGCTGCAAGCTGTATCACTATGCTCATGCAATCTAGCTCCCCGCTGATTCGACGCCCTCTGTATGCCTTGCTATCTTGCTATCAGCCGCACAGCTTACTTGCCTGCTGGTCTAGCCCTCCAGATAAGGATAGAGTCGACTACTGGGAAAGGTGAGTGTGGCAGCAATAGTCAGGAGATTGGTGCCGCTCGCGGCCCGAAGCGTCTACCTGGTCTCCGGTAACATGCCTAGCCTACCTTGGCAATCGGATCGGCCATTTCTTGTATCCGCAATCACCCCCATGATCGAGGGCCGGAGGTCGAGGTCTAGTCGGGTAAGTTGTTCCAGTTGACCCTTGCAGGATGAGTCTAGCCAGAGCCACAATGCTCGAAGTGGCTGTAGAGACCTCATCGCCAAAGACAAGGGAAACTACAAACTCGCCATCATGATAAAGATACTCCCTTAGAAAGAGGAACTGAATCTGAAATGACTCAACCACTTCCTTATGACGCAAAGTATTAGATAGTTAATCTCTGTTTCACGCCTCAACTAAGATAACGTCATTCCATTTTCTTCATGTCTCTTCCTGCTGTATGATTTTCCTTTATCTGATACCTGAGTCTGATACATGAGTGAACTATGCGTAAGGCCAAGACGTAGACTAGATGAAAACTGAGGTCTAGATCTTCCAGCAGCAACTCCCGCCTAAGTATTTCTCGCAGGATTCCTACAGCATTCGCTTCCTAAAGTAGACACGACTATCACACATATGAGGGTTCGCTAGTAATGATTGAAAATGATCCATGGAGGTGACTACTCCATGTATGTATCTTTATACCTGAATATCAAATATTAACCCCCCCCCGGAACTAGGGTATTGCCTCCTCCAAAAACAAAAAACACAACGCAAAATTATATACCTAAACAAATCGTGGAAGAACACACTCCAATCTACTCAAAAAGCGGCGCATGGGCCTGCTGGACCAGCTGCTGCATCACACCAACGAGATCATCCAGCAGTGAATGTGCGTACTCTGACCAACTGTCAATGGTGACAATCTCAAGGGTCAGCTTGTCGCCCTGGAAGAAGGCCTGGATCTTCCACTCCTTGAGCGGCTCCTCATGAAGATAAACCGTCTCCATGCGGCTGGCGGTTCCCGTAAGACCGAGGCTCTCCACGTGCTCGACGTCCTGGTGCACGACAGTGTCGAACCAGTCCGTCGTCGAGGGCCAGTCCGTGCACTGCTTGACGATCTCTTTCAGGCCCAGGGACTCGTGCGCGGAGCTTGCGATGTGCTGGTGCTGGACGTAGTCGAGGAGGTCGAGCCCCGTCCAGGAGGGGTCGAACTTGACGCGCACAGGTATGTACTGCCAGCAGGGGCCGACGACGGTGTCGGCGTTGGGGAAGTCGATGTTGCGGCCGCTCACGACCTCGCCAAAGGTGACGTCGCGGAGGGAGAGGCGTTTGGCGAGGCAGAGTGCCCACGCGGCCGTGGGGAGGGTGGCCGCGGTGATTTCTCGTGGGCGTGTTGAGATATCCAGGGATCTTTCTATGGCAAAGTGCTTCTTGTGAACAGCCGGAGTGTCGGGTTTCAATATGGTGATCGAGGAGCCCTGAAGAAGATCCTTCCAGTACGGAACACTGTTGGGGATGCTCTTGCGGAGGACGTGCCCGACGTAGGCAGAGAAGGGGATAGTATCCTTCACAGGCTGGCCTTCATATAGGGCGGACAGCTGGCGGAGAAGGACAGGGAGGCAGATCTCGTCGTACTGGGCATGTGAGATTCGGAAGATCAGGCAAGATTGCTTGCCGTCCCCTCCCTTGATGAGGTACCACTTAACAAAGGCTGAGCCAAGAGGCATCTTGGTCAGAACATCCAACTGGCAAACCTTCTTGGCAAAGTCCTCTACCTCACTGTCAATCTCGTACTCTACAAACTCGGCCTCGAGCTCCTCCAAAACAGCAGCGTAACTCTCCCCCTCATGCTGTACAAACACCGTTCGGAGAATTTCGTTCCTGGCAACAAGATCTCGGCAGCTCTTCATGATACGCTGGCGGTCGACGATCCCGTCAAAGTACATGAGCTCGTATCGCGCGGAAAAGCGAGGAATCTGGACGGTTCCCTTGACGGCAATCTCCTGGAGCGGGCGGGATGGCAGCACGTTGACAATCTTTCCGGCAGGGTTGGATAGCTGTGGCCGTACAATCTTTTCAACAAAGTCATCCGTGTTCTCAACTCCCAGGAGAGAGAACTCAGGAACCGTTTCCAGCGTGGGGATAGCATCACCATGCTCCTCCATCACATTGGCCATATCGTACAAGGTCCGCTTGTTAAAGACTTGAACGACCGTGAGAACGATTCCTTCCACTCTAGCCTCGGAGACTAGCTTCATGGCAGCGATCGAGTCACCTCCAATGTGAAAGAAGCTATCGTTCAGACCGATGTCATCCTCTGGGACACGCAAGACACGGCTCCAGATGCTCCTTAGTTTTCTCTGTTTCCTTGAAGTCGCTGACAAGTACTTGCGAGGGCCACGAGAGTCAACAACAGTATCGGATTTGTGTTGCGACTCATTGGCAAAGGTGATCTTGCCTTCGAGATCAGATTTGGCCAGCTTCTCTGTTCTGTAGAATCGAGTGCCCTCGGATTGGCCTGCAGCCCACGAAGGCGCTTGGATCTCCTTCAGTTCCAACTCACTGGGAGAGCACAAGATGACCTCTCCAATACCGCCAACAGGGGTAAGGACATTTGAGTTCTTGGGATTGACGATGTAAGCCGATTTGGCCGAAGGGAACCCTTCCGGTGCATCAATAAAGACGGTGCTCTGGCTCAATCCTCGGATCTCCTCCTCGTCCTTCGCTACAAGGTATGTGATGTTTTCTAAACGCTCTTTAGATTTTTCACACAGCTGTTGAGATACCTGCTTTAGCTGCTGCAGTGCTCGCTCCATGATAGGTTTCGAGATAGTCTTGGAATCAAAGCTCGCCATGACGAGGAATCCCGTGGGGTCTATCGAGCACACAAGCATGAGAGCATAAGTGTTGAACTTGAGCGCCTCCTGGGCGGCCTCGTCATCGCCTGCGGGGACGAGCCTGTTGGCAGGGAGGTCCTCAGCCAAGGGCGGCTCGTCTCCAGCGCTTGGGTGAAGAACCAGGCCGGTCCTGAGCTCGCAAGCTTCCAGAGCATCGGGGCTCAGGCGACGGATGTGTTGCAGGCCGAAATGCTCATGAGGAATCTTGGACACAGTCTGCTCCTGGATCTCCTGGAGATATTCTGCGACAGTGCTGTCGCCGTATACCTGGACACGGACGGGGATTGTGGTAATCATGGGACCCTCAATCTCTTCCGCTCCGATAATGGGAGCATTTCGTCCTGTTAGAGTCTCTCCGAATATAACGTCAGGAGTGTTGATGTACTTGGAAGCAACAAATGCCCAGGCACCCCTGATAATTGTGGCCGTTGTCGTGCTGGACGCAGATTGATGCTCCAGGGGAACATAGACCTCCAAGAGCGAGTCGGCTTGGGTCTGATATCCCTTGAAGGGCAGTGAGGGAAACTGAGGTCCGTTTGCGCCCTCGAGGAGCTCTTTCCAGTACTTCTCAGATAAAGAGCGGTCCTGGTTCAACAGGTATTGGATGAAGTGCTTGAATTCTGCGGGGCGGCTCACGTTTTCTCCTTGGTATGCCTTGTTGATTCGGTCAACGACAATTGGCATTGACCATCCATCATAGAGAGCATGGTGCATAGTGAGAACGAAGCTCACTTGGCCCTCCGGCTGCTCGTTAATAACAGCATAGCGCACCAGAGGCTTTCCAAGATCCATTGCTTCGTCTCTATCGGAGACGAGATAGTCGTTGAGTAGAGTACCAGCAAACCAGTTTAGTTTACCCTTGACCACGACCTGCATCAAGCCCCGTCCAGGTACTTGGACAATTCTCGTCCTCAGGATTGCGCAGTCATTCTGGGCAACATCGAAAGCCGAGATGAGTTTGTCAGCTGTGGCCTGGCTATCCAAGTTCACCACCCGCTGGGCCACATATGCCTCCTTGACCTTGGCTGAGAGGGCCATCAATGCTTCTTGTAAGGGGGTACAGGGGTAAACATCCTCTACAACCTCGGGATCAATGTTGCAGAGATCTGCCACTTCCTTCTTCGCTGCTTCGACACTCCAATCCTTCTCGAGGAGGGAGAATGGTGGAATCTCGTTAGACTCTGTCTGGGAAATCTTGCTCGTCTTCTGAGCCATGTCACTCAATAGTGGATTAGTGAAGACGTCAGCGACAGTAAGCAATAATCCTTCCTCGCGAGCCGCGGCAATGAGCCTCATGGCTCTGAGAGAGTCACCTCCCAAGTGGAAAAAGTTACTCTGCCTGTACGCCTTCGTGTTGCTTCCGAGCACCTTGACCCAAGCGGCTTGTAACTGTTTCTCCTCTGGCGTTTCAGGCTCCTCCTCCTCAACATCGGATGTTTGCATACGGCTCAGCTTCTCTCGCGGGATAGAAGCACCGATCTGGCGAAGCTTCTTACGGTCTATTTTACGGGATACCAAGACAGGCATCTCAACCAGTGTGATAAAGGCCGCCGGGACCATATACCTAGGAACCCGAGCGCCCATGGTTGAGTCGATATTCGAAATAGCGGTCTCGAGCTCTGGTGAAGGTTCCGTAAATATCTCCTCTGAGGCGGGCGGAGTATATGAGCCAGAGCGCTCTGACAAGAAGGCGATGAGTGACGGAGCGCCATTCTCGGGCTTGATGACTTCGGCAGCGACCTTGACGCCGGCAGGGAGAGAGAGCTGAAGGTGGTGCTCAACTTCTGCGAGTTCAACTCGCTGGCCCCTCAGCTTCACTTGCTGATCCTTCCGACCTACAAACTCGATCAGGCCGGAGCCGTTATCCTCATACTTGACAAGGTCACCGGTCTTATAGAGACGGCCGTGGCGTCCCGAGATGTTGCCGTAGCCCTCCAGGAGCCACGTTGGGTTCTCGATGAATACCTCCGCTGTCTTCTCCGGCTCGTCGAGATATCCGATACCCACGACGGGGCCCTCAATGATAAGCTCACCGACCTCTCCCACCGGTGTGAGGCGGTTGTGGTCTTCCGGGTCCACAATCCAAGTAACACCTCCAACTCCCCAACCGATACCGGTCGATACCAGGACCTTGTTGTTAATGGTGCAGCCGACGGTACATTCCGAGGGGCCATATGCAATAACGAGATTCGTGTGCTGGCCCCACGCTGCCGCATCACTGGACGAAACAGCTTCACCTCCCAAACCAAGATAGTCCAGGGAAGGGATGATGTCTGAGTCCAGGACTCTCGCTACCGAGGGGGTCATGTGAACCATGTTTGCCTTGCTCCTTCGGATGGCACCGCTTAGATCGTTCATCCTCTCCTCCTCGGATGGCACACATACTCTCCCACCCAAGGCCAGCGTGCAGAGCATGCAGTCGATACTGACATCAAAGGCATACGAGGGGAAATCGAAGCAGCGTGTGCTGCCCTGGTATCCCACCGCCTCCGCTCTGGGAATGGCGCCGCTCGTATAGTTCTCGTGCGAGATCACCACACCCTTTGGTTTGCCCGTACTTCCTGAGGTGAAGATGACGTACATTGGCGAGGAAGGAGGGACGAACGGTAAAGCTACCGCCTCTAATGACTGGTCCTGTTCGAGAATATTCAGGAACTCCCTGGAGACGGCGATGACCTCGCCCTCTCCAGCAATCTTGCTACCGAGCTCGCTCTGGAGCTTGGAGGTAACGACGATCCTGGCGCCCGTCTGCTCTACGATCGTCTGCAACCTCGCCTCGGGCTGGCTGGGATCTGTGAGGCAGAAGGTGGCGCCGGCCTTCATGACACCAAGGAGGCCGACGAGCGCCCACATGGACTTCTCGAAGCACAGCGGTATTCTGGTGCCGACTGTGACACCCTTGTTCTGGACGAGATGGCTCGCCAGCCGGGTGGAGAGCTGGTTCAACTCGGCGTAGGTGAGGGAGCCGTCCCATGACTGGACGGCCACGGCATCGGGTTGTTTTGCGGCTTGTTCAGTTATAATGCTGTGCATACATCGCTGCAGCAGAGGAGGGACATTCTGGTTCCACTGCCATAGTTGCTCCAGATCCTTGGTTGTGACTGAGGTTGAAGACTTTTCGGACGCCGCCTCGTCTTCTTTTTCTTGTGCCTGCACTTGAGGGGCAGTCTGTATGGTCTGCTGCTGTTTCGCCGCTGGCTCCTGGAAAGCCCTCTCCGCGGAGCCCCCACTGCCGTGGATATCTACGATCCTCATGTTTGAGACAAAGTGGTGATTGTGTAGGAGAGCGAAGATAGCTGCCTCCTATGGAGCTCTCAGAAAAAGAATGTACGAAGGAAAGGAGACGGAGACACCAATTATGACAAGTAAGTTCACGGCAGGCTTATTCCAGATGAAGCATGAGAGAGTTTACATGAGAACATCGGGACGGGAGCTTCGCGATGAGATGAGCCCATGGTCGGACTTATTCGTAATGGCAATGCGGATATTCGCAACGCCATGCTTGTCCCCTGCTGCCACCGGCTCGAAGAGGCAAGAAGCCCCCCATCTCACCCACTATACACAGTTGTCCTCGCCTTTCACGGTACGCTCTTGGCATGTAGGTAGCCGTTAAGCTAGACGAACACCTGCCGAGTCCGGACAACGGAAGGCCACTTACAAGGGAGGGGGGGGCGAGAAAGATTTCCTCTCAACCTTCTCCACCAGGTGACATTGGTGGGCAAAGCCACCTGTGTAAGTGGGCGTTAGTTAAGAGTTAGGATGGTGCAGCAGGCCTGATACAGACAGTGATCGGATCACACCAGGCGAAAGTGTGCCGATCACGCTCGAGCTAGGGGTCAGGCCAGCCCCCAGGGCGGGGATCGTTGAAGACATATGACACCTCGTTTTGATGACCTCAGCCGTTGGGTGTTGCGGTTCGCCCTAGTTCGAATTAGTCACTCAGGCCGAGACTGCACCACATTATTCAAAAGATGCCATGGCTTGGCTATAGGTCCATGGTGTGACGAATAGACAGGGAGGTGGTATTTCACGCAACGAGGCGGGCTCTCGACCTACTCTTTGCGTTGCCTGGTGACTGTGAAGTCTCTGCAACGTTCGATTCATTAGCAGCAGGAGTAAACAGATTGGGTAAAACTCAGGCAAAAGAAAACAAGGCCGCGGTCCATCCACATGACGACATGGGTCAGCCCAGAGCGAGATCCGGCTTCCTCAAACCGCATATGAGCAGCATCCTAGCTTTTACTAGGACCAAGGAGGAAAGCCTTGGACTCTTAATCCTGTACGGTATTTCCGTTTCGTATAAGTTGTGACAATAGTGGTAGTTGGCGCGCGAAGTAGCGGCGTTGGAAATCACATGCTGTCGTTTCTGCAGCCGAGCTGAGCTTGAGCAAGGGGACGGCGCGGCACGATCGTTTCCCCTGGTGGCTTAATGGCTTGTCTAGCCTTCCAAGACCTGTCTGCCAGCCCTGGGCCTTTCGGGTCCAGGAATGCCGACAAGGGAGGGCGCCCCTCGCGCCCCTCCTCGTCCCCAGAAATCTGCCGGCGCACGTCAGGGTCCAGCTGGCCCATAGGCTCCCTCAGGAACACGGCACATATACATAGAGTGAATATAGCACGGCATGCAGCTTGCGCAGGGGGAAAGGCTGGTCACTGAAAAGAGGTCGATCAGGGGTTGCAACAACGAAGTTGATCAAGGAAGAGAGGAATGCTGCCAGGGAAGGGCAGATTCACTGAACGTTCCATTCGGTAAGCTAGAGGGAAGGATAGGTAGGAGACAGCCAGCCAAGAAGGGTAGCAGTGGCGATGGCCTCGTCTCATCTCAGTCGAGGAAGAAATGCCTCATGCCTTCAGTGAGGCTAATTTGGTCTTGTCCAATGGGTTAGTGGATAGCAACGCGTGCAACAAGGCAGGTAGGCCCTCATGGCCTTGTTTTGCCCCCTCTAGCTCTCTCCACTTGGGTCCTTTGTTGAGATGGGTAGGTGATATTAGAGGGTGGATGAGCAAGTGAACAGCCAGAACGAGATGCTTGAGTGGATGGCAAGAGAGAAGAAAAAAGAAGAGCTGCAGACACACAGACAGGGGGGAGGGCGTGGATGTGGATAAGGGGGTGAGTCGAAATAGTCAAGCCGAAGCTGAGAGGCTAAAGACCCGCTAATGGGCAATGTAGAGATACTTGACTGATTGGATCTTATCTGATGATCAGATTAGATTGACGCCCCTCACCCCTGTCTGAAAAACATCAACCGCTGCTGCTGGACAAGAAACTAGGTACCTACATGCTGCCCATATTTGCCTCTGGCTTCGCAAATCCCACCCTCGACGGGGTTGGACTCGACTCCGGGCTTCCTCACTTGGATCGGACCCAAGAACGGCGCCGTGCATCTTGCGTAAGGGGCTGATTCGACCAAGATTTTTTCCTCGCCTCGGCCAATATCGGAGCTGCCCTCGATTAAGTTGCTCGGCATTGAATGCATCAATGGATCACGGAGACACCCGAGATAATAGCAGGCATGATGGCCCCAGTTTCTAGTAGTTTCGTAGTTGACTGTCGAGCGAGCATCGGCTGCACCAAGGAGGGTAAGCAGGCAGGCCGTCAAGGCGAGCTATTTTCCTCGCACCTTTCTTCTTTCAATGAGGTATCCAGCCCTGCATTGCACGTCATTAGGACATATAGCCAGTGGGGATCTGTGAGGGCCCTACTGACGCCAGCTGTGTTCATCATTTTCGGCTCGATGCAGAAGTGATTTGCAAGCGCGTCAACCGCACTCCTGAATTCCCGGAATTGATGTAGTAGACGCTTCTTAATTGCTTTTTCCTTTCCTCAAAAGACATCACACGCGCAAGTAATCTCTCAGGATTGATAGCTCCCGAAAATCGGAGGAAGAGAAACACTTGAGAAGAAAAGCAAAGGTGAATTAGAACGCAATGGCAGTCGAGCCCACTACAATCCAGTCGGGCGTCGTGCCGACCAAGTCGAAGCTCTCGCTCTTACACGGCTCAAACGACCCTCCGCTCGTCGACTTGACCCTCGGCGAGCTGCTAGAGCTCCAAACATACCAGTACGGTACCAAGGAATGTCTCGTTATTCCTTGGACTGGCGCTCGCTGGACGTACAATGATCTCAACCAGCAGAGCTCGTCCCTAGCCGAAGCCCTCCTCGACATGGGCATCGGCGTGGGTGACCGCGTCGGTATCATGGCTGGAAACTGCGAACAGTATGCCGCCGTCTTCTTCGCCGTGGCCAAGATTGGAGCCATTCTCGTCATTCTGAACAACACTTACACACCGACCGAAGCCATGTACGGCCTGACCTTCTCCGACTGCAAGGTCTTCTTCACCACCAAGAAGATTGGTGACCGAGTCGACAACAGCAGGCTTCTGAGCGAGGTGGCCAACGAGGAGGGCATCAGCCGCAAGGTGGTAATTCTGCGAGGTGATTCAGAGGGGTACACCTCGTACCAGGACTTGATCAACTCCCGGCAGCGGAAGGGCCACGAGGCACTGTACCGAGCCATGAGCAAGGTCCTCCCACATCAGGTTGTCAACCTGCAGTTCACAAGCGGCACGACCGGCTTGCCCAAAGCAGCTATGCTCACCCACCAGTGAGTGCAAAGAAGCGAGATAGACGCGGCCAGTCAGCCACTAACACCGTATATAGCAACCTGGTCAACAATTCCCGGTTCATCGGCGACAGAATGAGACTGACCTCGGCAGATATTCTCTGCTGCCCACCACCACTGTTCCACTGCTTTGGCCTCGTGCTTGGTCTCCTCGCCATCGTCACACACGGAGGCAAGATCGTGTATCCCGCCGAAGTTTTCGACATCCCCTCAACACTGCAGGCTATCTCCGATGAGAACTGCACCGCCGTCCATGGCGTCCCCGCCATGTTCGACTCCCTCTTCCAGGCCAAGCTCCCCGAGGGCTTCCAGTGCGACAACCTCCGAACCGGCATCATCGCCGGTGCGCCAGTGCCCCGGTATCTGATGGAGCTCCTGGTCAATCGCTTCGGTATGACCGAGTTCACCAGCAGCTACGGCTTGACCGAAGCCTCTCCGACCTGCTTCAACGCCTTCACGGACGACGCCATGCACAGGAGGCTCACCACCGTGGGCACCCTCATGCCCCACGCCCAGGCCAAGATCGTCGACCGCGAGGGCAACATCCTGCCCATCGGGGAGCGGGGGGAGCTGTGCATCGCGGGCTACCAGCTCCAGGCGGGCTACTGGAACAACTCGGAGAAGACCAACGAGACCATGATCCGGGACGCCGCGGGGGTCCTGTGGCTGCACACGGGCGACGAGGCCGTCTTCGACGAGGACGGCTACTGCAGCATCACGGGCCGCTTCAAGGACATCATCATCCGCGGCGGCGAGAACATCTACCCGCTCGAGATCGAGGAGCGCCTCATGGCTCACCCCGCGCTCTCCCGCGCCATCGTCGTCGGCCTCAAGAACAAGCACTACGGCGAGGTCGTGGGAGCCTTCGTCGAGCTGGGCGAGAGCTCGGCCCAGCCCACCGACGCGGAGCTGAGGGACTGGGTGCGGAACCAGCTCGGCAAGCATAAGGCTCCCGCGCACGTCTTCTGGCTCGGGCAAGGGGGCGTGCCGTCCACGGTGCCGCTGACGGGGAGCGGAAAGGTGCGCAAGTTCGAGATGGCGAAGCTAGGAGATGAGTTGTTGCGCAAGCAGACCACTACCTCCAAGCTGTAGAGAGGAAAAAACAAGATACGATTGTGTTCTGAAAAGGGAGATAGATGTGATGTCGCTCAATAGAAGAGGCGTGATAGATCAGGTATATGTAGAGTGAAAAAGTTACGGTCTTACGGATGTCAAAGCGAGGAGAACAGGACCAACAAATTATAGCGAATAGATAAGCAGCGCCCGGTTTTATTTCTCAATTTGCCTTTTTCTTATAATTTTCATAATTCTACTAGGAAATTATCCGTATCATTTTCAGCAACTGTTTTTCAACCAATGGCACCAAATGTGCAAATCAATCCATGACGATGTAATATTCTACAGCTTGGGGACCAGTCCAATCCTCATTCCACCCACAGCCTTCTCGCTCTCATGCAACGGGCAAAGCTGGAAGAACCTCTCGCGGGAGCAGCGCACGAAAGCGCTGCGCTTATGAGGCAGATCGACAAACTTGTCAAGCCCGAACCCGTGGATGAGATCGTACATGACGACAGTCGAGTTAGTATCCTTGGGCTCGCCGACGACGTACGTCGTGCGCGGGTCATCGAGGAAGAGGTAGTGCATCAAGCTGCTCCACCAGGCCGACACGCGGTGCGGTCCGCGGAAGCGCACATCGCCGACGAGAGAGTGTCGACCGCGGTCGAAATCGCCGGCATCAAAGTAGCCGCCCAGGCGGTCCTCCTTGGCCCAGTAGATCTCAAAGTACGCGAAGTAGGTGTCGTCCCACTTGGCAAGCACGGCGACCTGGTGGGGGTCGACGTGGATCTTGCGCAGGTACTCGCGGTGCTGCTCGAGGGTGCCCGTCTCGTTCCAGCCCTGGGAGACTCGGGGGTCATTCTGCCACTCGTGGAAGAGGCGAAGGTGCTCCGCGTCCTCCCAGTCAAGGGAGACCATGGAAAAGGTTTCCTTGAGGTGGGGGATGTAACGGCTGTAGATGGTGGCACCGGGAGCGGGCTTAGCCGGGCGGACAGGATGCCACGCTTGCTGGTAGCGGTCTGGATCTTGAGGATCACCGGCCGAGGCGACGGAAATTGTATGCTGAACCGGCGTGAGAGGGTATGAGGCCAATGGGGTGGACTTGGGCAGCGAGGAAGGAGACTCGTCGGGGCACCAAACAGGGCGGGGACCGAAGGGGGAGCCGGCACCTTGCCAGAAGGTGCTTCGCAAAGCTAGAACAACCTTCTCGTCGGGGTTTTTGGTCGAGGGCGAAGGGGCAGAGACTGTCTTTGGGGGCGCGGGGTGGTCAATGGCCAGGAGAACATCCTGAAGCTGCTGGCCAAGGCGGTTCGCATCGCGACCCTTGAGCTCAAGGCGGACTGACTCCATTGATGGGCGAACCGTAAAGAGAAGATATAGAAGCAACCAAGCCTGAGCAAGTGTAGGAGCCGAGCTGCTCTCCCAGTTGACGGCAACAGCTGGCGACCTCCTTGCTCGTCCCCATGCTCCGTTGTTGGATGGGGGAGGGGCTTCGCTGGACTTGAGATCGGTGGGCTCGGTGAATCGAAGGTTGGAATTATGAAGCTCGAACGATGGCTGCTTGTTGTGAGATCTCGTGCTTGGTCTCAAGGCGAGCTGGAAGAACTGAGCATCATTGCCTGATGGTGCCGGAACCTTCTTCACAGCATACTCGGTGAGATACGGGTGCGGGAGCTTGATGATTGTCTCATCCGGAGAGACAGAGCTCAGTGAAATAAGCGACATGATGAGTATATTTGTTCAGAGCTGAGCCAATTGATAATTATTTGGGGGCCAGAATCTGATCTTAAAACGTGGGGAGGACCGGGCCGTTTCGTGAGTCCCAGATCTCTATTACAAGGTAGCAGGAAGGAGGTAAGAAAAGAAGTAAGTAAGTAAGTAAACAAAGAAAGAAATAAAACTACGGGAGCACGCAGCGCATGACGAGCTTCTCTCGGAACAGCCTTACCACGGCATGCATGCCCTCCCACAGCTGTCGGCTTATCAATCTGGACTAAAGTGACACCTCAGCTCCAACTCCAGCTGCTAGAGCTACTGCAATGCACACCAGCCAAACCAGCAACGGCAATGAGCAGCCAGCGGCGCCGGCCATACAGGTATCGACAGCATCCTGCTGTGTTGGTACACATCATGGAGCCAAAGAGGGGCGACTAGCTTGGAACAAGTGCCGGTAAAGATCAGGATATCCAGTCATCCACAACGGCGTATATGGACACCCCCCTTCTGGGTCCTCCACCCCGAAAGTCGATGTTCCTGTACTCCGAGCTTGAACGTGAGGAGGACGGCAAACAAGTGGCCCGTCTCGGAAGGGAAGGCCGTCCAGGTGACTGCCAAGCAACTCGAGTTAGAAGCGAAGCCCGGCCCCAGAAGATCCATGACGCTTTCTCAAGTACCAGTACTCGCCGAGAGAGTCTGGTCACAGACGACGGGCATGGATCAACCCACCAGCCCTCCATCCACCATCCACCATATGCACCCGCTCAGCAACTACTTTCTCTCCTGGGCATAGGTGCTCACAGGGAGGGGGAATAATCCCTCACGTCCTCATCGTATCGCGTCGCGTATATAGACCAGGGCAAGCCCTGTCATAGAGCAAAGCAGTCTCCCCTTCTGTCAATTACAGAGCCAAAACCCTGCTAATTTGCCCTCAGCAGGCGAGCAAGTACCAGTACGAGTCACCATGCACTAATCCCAAAGAGTCGTGAAACGACCAGGATTAGGTAAGACTGTGCGGATCTGATAACCTAACCCTTATCAGATCACTCTAGGGGGCGCTTAGTGCCTCAGGCCGAGGTTCATGTAGCGCATGGGCTAACTGGCTCTCTGTCGCGCTCCGACCACCGGCGCCGTGATTTTCTAGCGTGGCGCCGGATCTGATAAAATTTTATGGTGGAGGCTGGCGCTAATTAATCAATCAATCAATTGCCGGTCGTAGCTGGTACATACGCAATCCTGTTCCTCCTCTCTCTTGCTTTCTTCCCCACCCCATCTGTCCAAATTATGGCCATCTGCCTCGCTTCGCACTCCGCGGGTCGTTCGTTCTTTTTAACCAAAGCAGTGGGATGATGGTGTGATGCGATCCCCCCATGATTTCCAGCAATTTTCGTTTTCAGACAGATCGTTGATCGTATGTTATCGCTCTACAGCGATTTTGGAGTGCCTACCTAGAGTAACTATGCCGGTCGTAATCCATCATCTCCTGCAGAAGGCCTTTGAAAGCTGCCTTTGTCCTCTCCAGATTGTCGGGCCATTCGTTAGTTCATAGTCTCCTCGGCGGATTAAAGATGCAGCGCACGTCTCACCTCCAAGACTATCCATCCTCTAACTGTGATGTGGCCAGACAGATTAGAGGATAAGATGATACCCTAAGCGGCCTCCAAGAAGTCATCCGACCTGCCAAACATTCCCACGACACACGCTTTTTCGTCTGGTCATTGGGATGCTAGATATCCACAGCCGGCCATGAACCGTTCCATAATAATCCATCGCTCTACTTCGTTCACTTAGCTTGTGGTTAAAAATGCTGCTCTCTGCAACGCCTTGCCCAATCACAGCATTCCCGTCGTACGAGCCACTAATTATCATTATCAGTGGCACGCAGCTTTCGACCACGGCCACCCCGACAATTGCAGGTCAGAAGGCCATGAATGGATGGGCTGGTGCCCAGTCCAGGCAGCAGCTTCTCCAGGGCCCCCGGAAATTTTGCTACCCAAAATACTGCGTCTCTGGTTTGGGGAAATCCAATAGTTTGGGGTCGGACCTAATAAGCATAAAGAAAAATCACCTCACCTGGGCGAGCAGGGGTTTTCTCGCGCGAACCAGCAGGGTCTCGCCCAGTTGACAGCCTATGAAGCAGCAGAAATGAGTCCTTTGGAGGAATAAGCCAAGAGCCTAACCCAAATTACCTTTTCATCTATCTGAAATCCTCCACCTGTTCCCAAGAGGGGTCCATCTAATGTTGGTCTTGTACAGGAAAACTTTTTCTTTCCTTGGCTTCAATAGCAGTATTTTCTGGTTACTCGTGGTCTTGTTGTCCAACCAGCAGTGTAAATCTTCTATCTTGGCGTTGATACAGTTTCAATGGTACCAATTAGTCCCGTAAGCCAGCCAAGGCTCCCAGCGAGAAACATGCAGTAGTTCGCCGGAGAATACCACTGGCCGGGGTGCCAATCAAATCACCGGGTCCTCGAGGAACATTCCCTGGCTCGTTCCATGCAGACACCATTGATCGGTTAAGTCTCACCTGGCTGCAGCTTACACTGACCGGCCGGCAGCAAACGAAGGAATGCTCTCATGGGCATACCGCAGTGTCTCTAGCGACCTGAGAGACGAAAGCAGGGTAGTTTAAGAGCATCCAGGGGATAAGGTGAGGGGGGGGGGGGGGATAAGATTAGATGCGAGAAGGTGACTCTACAAACAAGGCCATCTTTTCCACCCAGTCTAGAACCCAGCATCTTTTTCTGACATGCAGCCAAGCTTTTCGGGCTCGTCGCGTGGGAATCTATTTTTGAAGGCAACCTGGGTATAAGAACACGCATACATCCTCCATTCCACAGGCTTGGCTTTGTTTCGTTCTCTGTGCAACTGGGACTTGTTCCAGGATCTTACTCTTTTGCAAATACATATACACTTAATCTTTAATTAATTCAAGTCAGCACCAAGGAGAGCCTTCATCATGGGTCGTGAATCGCCCGAATTAGCGCAAGCCAACAAGTCAAATGATGACTTCCACACCGCCGCCATCAGAAAGGAAGAAGCAACAGTGACAAAGACAGAAGCAGATGCTCAGGGAGGTTGGGACAGCGATGAGCCCATCACTGCGGATGCCCAGGCGGGTGTCCAGCAAATCGAGGCAACTACTAATGTCTGGACCAAGGGAGCTCTGATCTTCGCCTATGTCTGGATCTGGATTATCTGTGAGTCTAAGTCCCTGTCAAAAGAGAAGAGGGAGAGGAAGAAGAAGTAGACGAGAGGTGTATACTAATAAGGTCAACTTAGACTTCGTGGATAGTATGCAGCAAGGCACAACTGGTGCTCTTACGCCATACGTCACTTCTGCATTCTCAAGCCATTCGCTCACTCCCACCGTTGGCATTATAAGTGGCATCATTGGTGGTGTTTCCAGGTTGACCCTGGCTAAGATTCTCGACGTCTTGGGCCGCCCTACTGGATATTTGATCTGCATTATCCTCACAACCTTGGGTCTAATTATGATGGCCGCCTGTCGGGATGTCGAGATGTACGCAGCGGCGCAAGTCTTCTATTGGGTCGGATATAATGGAATCGGCTACTGCCTCACTATCTTCATCGCTGATACCTCTTCCCTCCGAAATCGAGGTCTGATGTTTGCCTACGCCAACTCTCCATGTAAGAAACCCTCTCCCCTTTGTACGCAACATCTCTCCGTGACTGATACTCTCCTCTCTAACAGACATCATCACCATGTGGCTCTCTGGCCCCATCTCAACTGCTTTCCTGAGCGGCCCTGGCTTCCGATGGGCATTCGGCGTTTTCTGCATCATCACTCCAGTCATCACTCTACCACTCTGGGTCCTCTTCGTCCACTACCTCAAGGTGGCCAGAAAGCAAGGCCTCCTCCCCGAGAGAAATAACGGCCGCACTGCTCTCCAGTCCATCTGGCACTACTGCCGCGAATTTGACGCACTCGGCCTCCTGCTCATCACCGCCGGCCTCTCCCTCTTCCTCCTCTCCTTCAACATCTACACCCTCCAGCCCCTAGGGTGGAAGGCCCCCATCGTCATCGCCTTCATCGTCCTGGGTGGCCTGCTCATCATCGCCTTCGCCGTGTGGGAGAAGTGGTTCGCCCCCGTCACCTTCATCCCCTACTCCCTCCTCACGGACCGCACCGTCCTCGGCGCCTGCATCCTCGCGAGCACCACCTTCGTCAGCTTCTACATCTGGAACTCGTACTTCACCTCCTTCCTCCAGGTCGTCAACGGCCTCACCATAACCCAGTCCTCCTACGTGGCCAGCATCTACAGCATCGGCTCCTGCTTCTGGGGCGTCGTCGTCGGCCTCGCCATCCGCTACACGGGCCGCTTCAAGTGGCTCGCCCTCTACGTCGGCGTGCCCCTCATGATGCTGGGCGCGGGTCTCATGATCCGCTTCCGCCAGCCCGACGTCAACATCGGCTACGTCGTCATGTGCCAGATCTTCATCGCCTTCGCGGGGGGCACCACCGTCATCACCCAGCAGGTCGCCGCCATGGCCGCCGCCAGCCACCAGCACATCGCCGTTGTTATTGCCGTCGAGTCCATGTTCTCCAACGTGGGCGGGGCCATTGGGTCCACCGTCTCCTCCGCCATCTGGCAGAACGTGTTTCCCAGGGCGCTGGCGAAGCACCTGCCCGAGGACGAGCAGCCCAACCTGCTGCTTATTTATGGCAACCTGACGCGGCAGCTGTCGTACCTCGAGGGGACGCCTGCGCGGATCGCCATCCAGGACTCGTACGCCGAGGGGCAGCGCTACATGTTGATTGGGGCGACGTGCATCTTGGTCGTCGGGCTTGGTGCCGTGGCGATGTGGAGGGACATCGATGTCAAGGAGAAGAAGCAAGTCAAGGGTCTTGTCATTTAATTTGGGTCTCCTCTCGTAGATGATAGAGCTGAATGTGAGATCAAAGAGTCTAGAAGGCGTTCTAGAAGACAAGATGAAGAATTAAACTTAATAAAGTGAGAGACTGATTGTCATAATGATAGTGATAGACCCAGGCTGGTGTCTCAGAAATCAAAGCTGCTAGTGATATCTAAACCGTATGGTCCTGTCTTATTACCCGGAAACAACTTTTTTTTGTTAGTTACAGAATCTTTAACCTTCAAACGACAGAAAATGAACAAGTAGCATAATAACAGTAAGGTTTGCCCTGTTGCTTCCTTGGGTATTTGTGTTACGTCAACTTATTAGTACTTGAGAAAGAGAATGCGGAGTTGATGGTACTATAGCAATCTAATGTAGATCAAAGATGGATCTTGTACTTAGGATATCCAGGCTATCGGATCCTTGGTAGATTCCGGAGAAGGGGTTACGTGGTTACCTTACCCAAAACTGGTCCCATTGACAACACATTAGTGGCAAAGCTATATACTCTTCCAATCCAGAAATATTCCACCATGGCTTCTAGTCACTATCCTTCTCTCTAATAGAAAAAGACATCACTTGCCAAAACCTTCCTCACTAAGCAACCCAATTAGGGGAGAGGATGTGAGTTGGACCATTTTACTAATAAATTAAGAGACTAAAACCAAATCTTATGGCCTCTAGACCGGTCTGATGCGAGACAATTATGAATATATCCAAGAAAAAAGTCCGAAATGGGGCAATGCAGTTGCTGCTGAACCCCAATAACAAAAACGCCGGTCGATCATATGCTGTACTCATGAACTCATAGTCTCGCACTTAATTCTCCTCCTTTTTTTCCTCTTTTTTTCCGCCCAGCTGCATGTAGTCCCAGCAAACTAGAAAATCCGGGTTAGCATAGTCTTGCATTAGGTCACGAATAATGATGACTTACTTGTCCAGCCGAGATCGTCACGGAAGTAGGCCTGCATGACATCCTCGCCAGAGACTGTGCCCTCAGGACCAGAGGCCACAGCCTTCTTGCCAACGGCAAGACCAATCATGGCAGGGATTTCTCCAAGCTCCTGGAACTTGGCCTCCTTGAGACCACGCTCCTGGATGACGGATTGGTGGATGTTGTGTGCAATGTAGTGGCCCATGTGCATGGCTCCACCGCATCGCTTGATGCCGGACCATTGAACTGCATCACCACCGCAGAAGTGGAACTTGGCATTTGGAGTGTCCGAGGCCAAGCGGAGGCTAGAATTTGTTAGTTTGGTTATCCAAGAAGGGGTTTACTGCTCCTGTCCTGAATGGAGTAGACATAAGAACTTACTTGGCCTCAATCTTGACATATCCTTCAGAGTTGAGGGCCGAAGCTGGCAGGTAGCCGGTCGCAGGCACACTCTTGGAGATGGCCATGACGACCTGGCTAGCAACCATCTTGTGGCCGTTGGTGAACTCAATCTCATACTTGCTCGTACCGTCTGGGTTCTCGACCTTGTTGGAAGAGGCGAGGCGGTGCTCCAGGAGGGTCTCAACACCGGCCTCGAGAACGAGCTCGAGAGCCTTGTCCTTGCACTCGTCGGACAGAGCCTCTGCCGAGAGCAGCTTCGCCCTGGAGTGGACCAGTGTGACCTTGATGTCAGGCTTGATCATCTTCAGCTCTGCCGCCATCTCGATGCCGACAGCTCCGCCACCGACGACGACGACTCCATCCTTGGCGTTCTGGACGGAGTAGATCTGCTCCTCCGCCTCCAGGAGATACTGCTTCCTTGTGAGGGACTGGGGGACCACGGGGAAGACACGGCGGAGACCGGTGGCGGCAACGAAGTAGTCGTAGCTGTGAGAGCTGGGCAGCTTGGTGGCGTTGTCAACGATGGTGGCAGTCTTGTTCTCCGGGTCCACGGACGACACGCTGCCCTGGAGAACCTTGATGTTTGTGTAGTTCTGGAGGGCTGGGATGTCCTGGTAGCGGACCCAGGCCTTCTTGGCATAGTCCGAATCGGCAAAGGCCAAAGGAGATCCGATCAGGTGATCTAAATCAAAGAAAAATCCCCGAGTAAGTGGGCGAGGTTCGATCACACTGGGTGGAGATGACTAAAAGGGAAGTTCAAGACAAGGCTTACAGTAACCATCTCTCTCGTCGACAATAGTGATGTCAAAGTTAACCTCGGGCAGGTCTGGGTGATGGGGGTACTCGACTCCAGACATGCGTGGGGAACGGCCCTGGCCGAGATCACACAGGTTGAGGGCAGCCGACAAGCCGGCATAGCAGCCTCCGGCGATGAAGACCTTGACGGTCGGGGGGGTCTGTGTCAGGGCAGGCATGTTCAGGGCTGAGCGTGGGTTTGAGATTGAGGCAAAGGACCGGCTAGGGAAGGTGGCACGAGAAACAATAGAAGAGACAGGCCAGGAGGGCGAAAAGGAAGGGGAAGGGAAGCAGTTAAGAAGTCTGTCGGCGGAGCCAGTAGATGAGGCGGGTGAGATGCGGTGGGGGAGAGCAAGATAGAGCCCCACCGTCGAGGACAGCAATGACGGCAGCCGGGAGTGGGAGGACAACAACCGCGGGAGAGTTGTTGAAAATGGCGGCATGAGGCAGCAGGGACAAGAAGGGGGTGGGTGGGAACGTAGTAGGTTGTCTCGCAGGCTTGTGCCAGGCAGGGAGGTCGTTGTACATGGAGCAGGACTTGGGCTGCTATTGCCGGGTGGGAGATTTACAACCTTGAGTGTTAAATAATACTATCTGCTACCGGTATTACGTAGCTAACCAAATACATACCTGATAGACAGCGGAAATCACTAGCATCAGCACTATTTGGTCCACGAGGGGCAATCGGTTTCATGAGTTCGGTTTCCGTCATACGCGAACTGCCCCTCACTCAAGTTTTTTTTAATACCGGTGCGCCCTGCACAATCATTACGTAGGAAGAAAATGTCGGTCACGAGGACGGCCAAGACATCAGGATCCTTGATGGGAAATTGGGTCTTGGTATATGAGGAAAAACTTCCAGGTAATCGCCGAGGGGGCAGTGCTGGGTGAGTGCGGCTGGTACAGGTACAAGGGATCCAAGCCAAGACCAACGCCGCGCTTTAGAGTTATCAGATCAAACAAGTTATCTGATCCGACAGTGGTGGGGTGGATGGCGGCTCGGAGCTGGTGTTATCAGATCCGGATGTCTCGGTGCAAAAAGCAAGGAAAGGAAAGCTGAGGCCGAAACAACCCCTTCTCGTGCATCCCTTTTAGAAGTCTGACTCGTATCGATCCGATCAGGGAACGAGGCGAGATGGGACAGGGAGAGGTCGCAGGATAGAAAGCAAGCTGTTGGGGAAGCCAACCCACTTACGACCCAGGGAGGGCTTGAGCCATTTTCGGGGGCTCCTTTTTTCTCATTCTCTTTCGCCATTTCTCAAATTTGTTAGGTGGGTGGAGCAGCTGTTCCACACGGAACACGGAAACCCAAGACTCCGCAGGCATAGTCCAACGCTGCTTGAGCTCTGGCTGTTGATTGATAATGAAGCTGGGTTCGCCGCTTAGTGAGCCAGCAGCTGTTGCCTACCCAGACCATCCATCCCTATAGCACAGGTGTTTACTGCCAGATTGCAGGCCCTGAGTGGTCCAATGCCCCTCCATCTCCGTGTTCGTACTACGTAAGACAGCAAATGAGCATCGCGAGACTGCACTAACCGGCCTTGGCAAGTACATGGAGTTTCTTTTGCCTCCTGTCCAAGCAGAATTATCTGATCCGAAAACTCAGTCGCCAAGCGCCGTCATCAGCCCACTCGCCCGACCCCTCGATGAAGCCGAAGCCACATCGCCGCCGCTCGCACAGCGCAGGAAACTCGGCGCTCGTCGTACCGCCCAGACCCCAGCAAGCTCTCTCTGGCCCTAATAAGAACGTGCCTTCTCTTCCTCTTCCTAATTAGGTCAGCCATACCGCTCAGGTACCGCTACATCTTGGCGGTCATCTCGCCTTCCGCCGGCCAAAAGACCTGCCCGTCAGTGTCCATCTCTGCCCTGCTCCGCATGCACCACCGCAGCTCTGTCGACCTGGCACCGCTCATCTGCTCTGTTGCAGGAACCTTTTCACGCCAATTGCTGCTCGCATGCATGTGGGTGCCGGCACTGGGCGTGGAGCAGCCACCAGCTTCCCCTGCTGAGACGATCCACCCACGGCATCATGGTCTGTCACGCATGTGCACTGGCCGAGGGAGCAATTTCCACACCACACACCCCGATCCGAGTAGGCAGTTCCCACCGTGATGACAGTAGCATCTCCATCCAAGCTGGCCCCAGGTTAGCTCATTCCAGCTAGAGGGCTCAGCCAGGTTACCATGCAAGCCTACTCGCTAGCCTCCGGACCGTCGTCAGTGATGGCGCGTGCCGAGTTCCAGCTCGATGGAGCCCGCAGCAGGCGAAGGGATAAGCCAACGGATCGCCCAAAATTTCAGATACCTATTCAGTAGACGCCTCTGCCCAGATTCATCTCGGGTTCCTACTCTCTCCCTCTTTGCTCGAGGAATGTGTTGAAAGGTCAGGCACGGCCAAAAGACAAGTCGCGCCGTTTCCATCATGGCTTCTTCTAAGCAACCCACACCTGCACCGCCGGAGCAAAGCTCTGAAGCGACAGAGCAGCCCTCAAAGGAGACAGCTGCTGTTGAGGTTTCCTCCCAGGATGATGCCAAGTCCGTCTCAAAGGCCGAGGTACGTCGCTAGATATCTCTCTGAGCCATCCAATGTCTGCAGTTCCACTTACCAACTGTTCACACACACAGCCAGCATCCCAATCCTTCTTTACCTACTTTCAACTTCTGGTCTATGCGAATCCGAAATGGATCGACTACGTTCTTTTGCTTGTCGGCACACTGAGCGCCATCGGGTCCGGCGTGCCTTTCCCCCTCATGGGTATCATCTTCGGTCAGCTTGTCGATGAGCTCAACACCGCAACCTGCGCGGTGGAGGGATCAAGCAGCAGCGTCGATCCCAAGGAGGTCCAGGCTTCAGTCGACTCCAAGGTCCTTATCCTGACATATGTCGGCATTGCCAACTTCGCCCTGATCTACATCTACACGGTGACATGGAGCATTTTTAGCCGTCGCCTGGAGACGCGATTGCGCGATCGCTATTTCCACATGCTCCTCCGCCAGGACGCCACCTTTTACGACTCGAGACAAGCTGGTGAGCTCGCCTCCAGGCTCAACGCTGACATTCAGGCTGTCCAGTCCGGCACCTCGGAGAAGGTCGGTGTCGTCCTCGCATGCACTTCCTTCTTCCTGACGTCGTACATTGTCGCCTTCACTCAAAACTGGAAGCTCGCCTGCATGCTCCTCTCCCTCATCCCGGCCTTCTTGATTCTCGCAGGTATCGGCAGCTTCTTCACCCAAAAGTATTCGACACTCATGGCCGATGCCATTGCCTCGGCATCCTCAATCGCTCAGGAGTCCCTCTCCCATATCGCCGTTGTCCAAGCTTTCAGCGCTGGACCCCGGCTTGAGACCAAGTTTGCTTCGCGCATGCTGGATGCCCGGAAATGGGGAATCAGGAAGGCTCTCGTCGCTGGCGCCCAGGCTGGCATGCTCTACTTCATTGCGTATTCGGCCAATGCTCTGGCTTTCTGGCAAGGAAGTGTCCAGATTGCTGCAGCTGCTCACGATGACGATTCTGGCGTCTCCGTGGGCAAGATCTACACTGTCATCTTCCTACTCGTCGATGCTTGCATCATCCTCGGCTCCATTGCACCTATTCTCCCCATCCTTGGCTCAGCCGGCGCCTCCTTTTACAAGCTGAGGCAGGATATCGACAGCCGCGCCGCCATTGATTCCAGCTCCGACGAAGGCGAGAAGTTGCAGGTCCCCATTCCCGGTCACCTTTCATTCCAAGGCATCACATTTGCCTATGTTTCTCGACCTGACCGACCAGTGCTGAAGAACGTGTCTTTTGAGTGTCCTGCGGGCAAGCACACTGCTCTCGTTGGTCTCTCTGGAAGTGGAAAATCAACAATCGCCGGACTTGCAGCCAGATTGTACGATCCGACAGAAGGAACCGTCTTCCTCGATGGCCACGACCTCCGAACCCTCAATGTCAAGAACCTGAGGAGTTTCATGAGCCTAGTTCAGCAGGAACCGTCCTTGCTTGATCGTTCCATCCTCGAGAATATTGCCCTAGGAATCGTCAACTCTCCCCAATCTGACCACCAGAAATTCCAACCCATCATCCTCGGGTCCGACCTGGCTGAGATTGCAGCCAAACTTCGAGAGGGCAAGGACATCGACGAAGTCGCCCAGTCCCATGGTGAGGGTGTTGCGGAGCTGGTCAAGCTTGTACGCCACGCTGCCTCTCTCGCAGATGCTTCTGGTTTCATAGACAGACTCGAATACGGATATGGTACTCTCGTTGGCACTGGGGGTAAGCTTGTGAGCGGCGGTCAAAGGCAGAGAATCGCTCTGGCTAGAGCACTCATCCGCGACCCGCAAATTCTCATACTTGACGAAGCTACCGCATCCCTCGACTCTGCAAGTGAGCACCGCATTCAAATGGCAGTCGAGTCAATCGCCAAGGACAGGACCCTCATTTCCATTGCCCACCGACTTTCGACCATCAAAAACGCTGACAACATCATTGTCATGAACAGTGGTCTGATCGTTGAGCAGGGAACTCACTTGGAGCTCATGGCTTTGAATGGCGCATACGCCAGCATGGTTCGACTCCAGAACATCGAGGCTAAGAAGAATGACGATACGCCGTCGCTCACCAGCACTGCCAGGGGCGATGTCGATGAGAAGGATTCCATCCTAGAAGCAAAACCCAAGGCCATTCTCGAAGACACAGACAAGGAAGACGAGAAAAAGGAACAATCTCCAGAGACCGGTTCCAACGCAGGCGAAGCCAAACCCGCCGACTTGGCTGATCTTGATTCTGAGAAATCTGCCTGGTTCGTTACCAAGAGCGTCGGCCGCATGGCTCGGCCCGATCTTTTCTGGATCATCATCGCCATGTGCGCTGCGCTCATCGTCGGCGCCACGTTTACAGCATCTGGTCTCATCTTCGGAAACACCGTCAACCATGTGAGCCCCTGCAAGCCTGAAAGCGAGATTCGCTGGGCTGGCAAGCTATTCGGCGGCATGTTCTTCATGCTTGCCGTGGTAGAGGTGTTTGCCTATACCCTGAGCTGGTCTGGTTTTGGTTATGTCGCTGAGAAACTTTTGTACTTGATCCGCGTTCTATCCTTCCGATCATTGTATGAGCAAGGACTTGAATGGCATCAGTCCGGAGGCCGCACCGCGACCTCGCTTCTTTCCGTCATAACTACAGATGCTGCTGCTGTCGGAGC